ACCCACATGACCCCAACTAGGGCCAGGGAAAATCTGTAACCGAGGTACATGCCTTTAGCAGGAACTGAACCTGGGACTCTGGTCCGTGGGTCAGTGCTCTAATCGATGAACAAACCGGCCATGGCTTGATTGCTTGTTGTATATGCCCTAACCTGGGATCGAACCATCAACCTTGGCGTATCAGGTGGATGCTCTAATCAGCCAAGGTGCCCAACCAGGGCAAGATATTTTAAATGTATTGTTTTAAGATTTGTGTTTATCCCAGCCATGACTGACCAGGATCTGACACACAGCAGTCTCTCAGTTGATGTTTCAATGAGTAAATTGTATCCATGAGCCCTTGACCCCCTAACTCTTTTATGGAATTCCCTGCAGGGGCTCCTTTCCGTTTCTTTCTCCTCTTCCCAGCTTGTTTCCCGTCTCATCCCGCGTGCGCCCCTGCCTGTCTCGCTGCTTTCGAGCTCCCTCACTCTGTTGGTCTCTGCTCTCTTTTCTATGCTTGTCTGCACGTCCAGCTCAGATACCAAGTCTGATTCCAGGGCCATGCCTCTGCCGGCTTACAGAACATTGTATTTCCGCTTCTTACAGAATGGGAGCCCAGGCCTGCGATGACGGAGGAGTTGTGGCAGCAGCAGGGCATCTACAAAGAGGAGCCATCACAGGAGTCAGTTTCGGAGGGGCTGACGAGGTCCAGTCTCCACAGCCCTGGTCCAGGCGAGGGGTGGGCCTGGGAGGGCCCAGTGGCTGCTCTGTCAGGAGGCGAGGATGTGCTGTGGAGGTGCAAGCCCACCGGCTGTGGGGAGGTCTCTGCAGAGGAGCACTGGCAGGGACACGAAGCGTCTGAGGAGGCTTTGCCCCTCAGGTGCACCCTCTTTGCCCAGCAGAGCAAAGGAGCTCTCATTCCAACAGAGGGAGAGTCTCCTGACAGACACACCAACATTTTCCCATCCAGCGAGGCTGCAAGCCAGCACCAGAGGATATACACAGGGAGAAACAATTGCCAGTCCCGAGAGCACAGCAAACCTCCGCTTGGGAAAAGGCCTCAGGGCACTGGCACCGGGGAGGGTCTCTTTATGTGTAGCCAGTGTGGGAAAACCTTCCACCAGAGCTCCTCCCTCACCCTGCATCAGCGATGGCACGCACGGGAGAAAGCCTACAGGTGTAACGAGTGTGGCAAGGCCTTCATCTGGAGGACCAACCTCGTCGAGCACCAGAGAATCCACACAGGGGAGAAGCCCTTCCTCTGTGGCGAGTGTGGGAAAGCCTTCAGCTATCACTCGTCACTGAACGTGCACCACAGGATCCACACGGGCGAGAGGCCCTACAAGTGTAACGCCTGCGAGAAGGCGTTCAGCTGCAGCTCGCTGCTGAACATGCACCTCAGGGTCCACACCGGGGAGAAGCCCTACAAATGCAGCGAGTGCGGGAAAGCCTTCAACCAGAGGACGCACCTGACACGGCACCACAGAATCCACACGGGAGAAAAGCCGTATAAGTGTGACGAGTGCGGGAAGGCCTTCACTTGCCACTCATCCCTGACCGTGCACGAGAAAATCCACAACGGAGACAAGCCGTTTAAATGCAGCGACTGTGCGAAGGCCTTCAATAACCGCTCACGCCTCACCCTCCACCAGAGGATTCACACGGGAGAGAAGCCCTTCAAGTGTGGCGATTGCGGGAAGGGCTTCAGCTGCCACTCCTACCTGGTCGTGCACCAGAGGATCCACAGCGGGGAGAAGCCTTTCAAGTGCAACGAGTGTGGGAAAGCCTTCAGCTCCCACTCCTACCTCATCGTGCACCAGCGGGTGCACACAGGGGAGAAGCCATTTGACTGCAGTCGGTGCTGGAAGGCCTTTAGCTGCCACTCGTCACTCATCGTGCATCAGCGGATCCACACAGGAAAGAAGCCCTATAAATGCAGCCAGTGCGGCAAAGCATTCACCCAGAATCACTGTCTCATTAAACATCAGAAAATCCACTCCGGAGAGAAGTCATTTAAATGTAATGAATGTGGCGAAATGTTCAACTGGAGCACTCACCTCACCAAACACCAGAGGATACACAGAGAAGAAAAGCCATTTGCCATCCAGTTCAACAAGCATTTGCTGAATACATACTATGTTCCCAGTAGCCTGCTGGATGCAGGTGACACGGCCGTGAGTGGCATGGACCCCATCAATTCACTGGACATGGCAAAGCTCCTGTGTGTGGTTCAGCCCTCAGCCAGCAGGAACTTCCCCCTGGGTAGCAAACCTGGAAATTAACATGGTGTGCTTGTCATCTGGCTTCTTCCCCAGGGTGAACGGCGGGGAAAACACAGTGGCTCGGAGGTACATGCTGTAGCAGACACCCTCTTATTAGCAGTCATCACCTCCTGGGAAGGGATACATTCTAGGAGAGTAGAGTTGAAGGTCATTTGAGGATGTCCCATGGTCTTGTTTCCTTTGACGGGTTTTGTGGTCACTGACCAGTGGATTAGATCTTTCCTGCAGATAAAAAGGTATGTCAATCATCGTGTCCTCAGACAGGCTCCTGGCATGATTTTCATCAGGAATTTCATCTGTGAACTCTTATGTTGAGAATAATATGAATAATTTTTAAAAACCAGAATTATGAACATTGTTACCTCTAAGTGAACATTATATTCCTGGAAGGGAGAATAATCTTGGATAGTGGGAGTTTGGGAAAAAATCCGATTTCCTGCACTCCCCTCACTGAAGTGGCTCTACTGCAGAGGCATTTCTTACAGCCAACACAGACGTCACAGATGCACAGACCAGCAACAGAGTAGGCAGACCCTGACAAGCCAGCCTCACACCTGGCCACCTGGTTCATGGTGAAAGATTGGGAGCACACAGGCCATGCCCGGTGTGTCCAGGAAAGATGGCTGCAATGTCAGGACAGATGTGTCCAGAAGCACACCTTCACCCCAAGCTGGGGCTGCCTGCTGGGCCTTCCCACACCCACATTAGCTCAGCTCATCAGTGCAACCCTGAGGGAGAAGCCCCTCCATGAGATCATTCCCATGTTCCCTGCAGGAACAGAAAGACGGTGTTCATCTGGAATTATGTTATTTCTACTCAGTTCTCAGCAAGTACAAGATGCCTTCTCAGTAATAATACTTTACATTTGTACAGAGTGCTATACTTTATGAAATAGTTTTTCATATACTTTTTAAATTATGCAGGCAAAATAACCACATTTCAGAAAATGTGGAATAAAGGACAGAAAGCACCCAGAATTTTTAATAAAACTGCATTTCGCACTTTGATACATTACTCCTGCTTTTTTCCATATTGCATTTTTAGATCACTTTAAACCTAGTAGATATGTCATTTAAATTTTTTTTTTTTCCACTTAACCTGTACAGAACATTTTCCCAAGTAACTGCACTGTCTTTGGAGTCATAATTGTAAATGGAAGCATAGTATTCCATTTGATATTCTTTTGTTGGATGTTGAGGTTATTTCCATGTTTTTCACTTTAATAAATCATTCTTCATGGAGCCTCTTTTGCATTGTACTACTTTAGCATTTTCTTAGAGTAGATTTCTAGAAGTGTAAAATTGTAAGATGAATGAATAGCTTAAGGAATCATCTCAGTATTTCTTTGTTTGTGTGTTTTCAAAGTAATCATGTTTCAGTATGAAGAAACCAATCAGCGGCACTGGTCAAGTAGGAATGTCCCTTGCATGTCAACAGGGCACAGGCACTGTTCACAGTGGATGTCCAGATGGTCTTTGTTCAGGGCGTGGTGACCACAGAGTGATGATCCTGGGCATCTGCTGCTCCCTTGCCTGGTATTGTGTGGTCCTCAAGGCCACATCATGACTGTCATGGGCCCTTTTCCGTGACAAATTGGATAAGTCCTCTTTCACCACTGGTTGGGAAAACACAAATATAATCTAGGTTTGATTCATTATCATCATTCTGTTTTTTCTTGTTATTTTAAAAGAAAATGAAACCGTCTTCATTGGTCCTGTGCTCCGTGTGTACTGTCTGCCCTGCAGTGCTGTTAATATGCTCAGCTGGGTGGCACTATTACTCCACTTCACTCCTTTGATAACTGATGAGGCTGATATTGAACATGTTTTTATTATTGGTCTTTCTTCCTGAAAATTACTTGACTATACCCTTTGGCCTTCTTGCCATTGGAGTCTTGGTGTTTTATTTACATATACGCTTTCTTTTCTGAGTATCTGAGAAATACATATGTATTGAAGACATTTGAAAAAGAATTTGAAAATTCTAAGAATAAAAATGACCTCAGTGTCAGTTCCTGGGTCATTACCTAGAGATGCATTTCCTTCCAGTTTGTTTCTGTGCACATGTACACGTGCGCTTTTTCTTTTTCTTTTTAATCCTCACCAGAGAACATTTTTGTATTTAGCTTCAGATAGAGCAGGAGAAAAGGGGGGAAGAGAGAGAGAGAAACATCAATGTGAGAGAGACACATAGAGTGGTTGCCACCCACATGACCCCAAGCAGTGCGGGGACAAACTGCAACCGAGGTACATGCCCTTAGTGGGAATCGAACCCAGGACTCTCTGGTCCACGGGCCGACACTCTAACCGCTGAGCAAAACTGCCCAGTGCCACGTGCGCTTTTTCTTTTAGAACAAAACTGGATCATACTCAGCATGTCATTTTTATCTTTTTCATTTAACATTTTACGATGCACATTTCCTTATCAAATATTTTCAAAAGCATTGATGGCTGAATTATTTTCTATCTTATAGTTGTATCATGATTTACCTGTTCATTTATGGTTGAACATCAAGATTATGTGTACCTATATGCCCATCTTTGATTATTTCCCCAGAGGAAATTCTGAGAAGTGGCAGTATCAGGGGAGATCACTAAGTTTGCAAAGCTGTTGCTGTTTCCAGGGTGGGCCCAGCGTCAGCTTCACTCCTAGCTTATACTCTCACAAGATCCCTGAGAACGTCCGCTTCTCCACATCTTTGCCAGCACTTGGCATTCTCTCCTCACTTTTTTTTTTTTAAATATGGAACTCTTCATGAATTAGCGTGTCATCCTTGTGCAGGGGCCATGCTGATCTCTGTATCATTCCAATTTCTTAGTATATGTGCTGCTGAAGCGAGCACATTATCTCACTTTTTACTATTTTATTTTTTTAAATATGCTTTCATAGATTTTTTTTTAAGAGAGAGGGATTTCTGGTCAAGATGGCGGCATAGGTAAACGCGGTATTGCTTCCTACCACAACCGCATCAAAGTTACAACTAAACTACAGAACAACCATCATTCAAAACCGCCTGAAATCAAACTGAATGGAAGTCCTACAACTACGGGATTAAAGCAGCAGCCACATCGAGACTGGTAGGAGGGGCGGAGGCGGACGGGCTGGTCCCGTACCCATGTGTGGCGGATAAAAATCAGGAGGACACCTCGGCTGGGAAGGTCCTTCCTGAGGACTGAGGGGTCCCTGTTCCACACCAGGCGCCCTGCTCAGGGTTCCAGTGCCAGGAAGAGAATCCCCATAACTTCTAGCTGGAAAAACCAGCGGGAACGGAGGCTCAGGGAAGCTGAAGCGGCTGGAGCCCCAGGCAGCTCCCTAAAGGGCCCGCGCACGGACTTATCGGACTCTCTCCCTCTAAGCTTGGAGGGGAGGCAGCTCGAGGGGCACCAGAGACATACAGGGAAGAACTGAGCTGTTTGGCACTGGACCGAGGGCTGGAGAGGGGGCTTTCTCTGGGGCAAACGTACTGTCAGAGGCCTTTGTTCCTTTGGTGAGCCCTTCCCTGGGGCAGCAGACAGTCGCCATATCTGGGACTCCAGCAACCTGGCTCACACTGGTAGCCCCGCCCTGCTGACTCCCTGAGGCCCCGCCCCACCCCACCCAACTTTCAGGCCCACCCAAGCTGTTGCCACTTGCTTAAGCGTAGGATTGGTCTGTCTTGGATCCTGCTTCAGGTTTTTCCTAAATTCTTTTAAACGAGCAGCATCTGGTCTCAGCTAGCCCCATACCACTCGTTAAGTAACACACAGAAACAAACACAGGGAGGCAGCCAAAATGAGGATACAAAGAAACAGGTCCCAAATGAAAGAACAGAACAAAATCCCAAGACAAGAACTAAGCGGAATGGAGATAAGCAACCTAACAGATGCTGAGTTCAAAATACTGCTTATAAGGATGCTCAATGAACTCAGTGAGAACCTCAGTGAACTTAGTGAGGTCCTCAAGAGCACAAAAAAGGACCAGTCAGAAATGATGGATGCAGTCAGAATTGAAGGAGGCATTAACTGAAATAAAGAATAATTTACACAGATTCAATAGTAGAGTACATAAATCCAAGAAGCAAACCATCGATTTGGAATATAAGGAAGCAAAAATGCCCAATCAGAACAGCAAAAAGAAAAAAGAATCCAAAATAATGAGGATAGCGTAAGGAGCCTCTGGGACAACTTCAATCATGCCAACATTCGCATCTTGGGGGTGCCAGAAGGAGAAGAGAGAGAACAAGAAATTGAAAACCTGTTTGAAACAATAATGATAGAAAACTTTCTTAACTTGGTGAAGGAAACAGACATACAAGTCCAGGAAGCACAGACAATCCCAAACAAGATGAACCCCGAGAGGCCCACACCAAGACACATCATCATCAAATTGCAAAAGGTTCAAGACAAAGAGAATCTTAAAAGCAGCAAGAGAAAGGCAGCTAGTTACCTACAAGGGAGTTCCCATAAGGCTGTCAGCTGATTTCTCAAAAGAAACTTTGCAGGCCAGAAGGGAGTGGCAAGAAATATTCAGAGTGATGAAAAGCAAGAACCTACAACCAAGATTACTCTATCCTGCAAAGCTGTCATTTAGAATCGATGGCCATATAAAGAGTTTTCCAGACAAGAAAAAAAGGAGTTCATCACCACCAAACCGTTATTATATGAAATGATGAAGGGTCTTTTTGAAGAAAAAGATAAAATATATGAACAAACAAAATGGCAATGAATACATATCTATCAACAATGGAATCTACAAATAAAATGAACAGGTAGAACAGAAACATTCTCATAGATACAGAGAACATTTTGTTGGTTGCCAGATGGGAGGGGGGTTGGGGGAATGGGTGAACAAGGTGAAGGGATTAAGAAGTACAAATTCATTGCTAGACTGACAAACCTCAAAGGGAAAGGGGTTAGGGGGTGGGAAGAAATAAACCAAAGAACTTATGTGCATAACCAATGGACACAGACAATAGTGTGGGAAGAGGCGGGAGGGGGAGGGAGTGGGGAGGAGGGGGTCCATGGGGAAAAAATGTGGAACATCTGCAATACATTCTACAGTCAACAATAAAGATTTAAAAAGAGAGAGAGAGAGAGAGGGAGAGAGAGAGAGAGAGGGCCCTGGCCGGTTTCGCTCAGTGGTTAGAACTTCAGCCAGTGGACCAAAGAGACATGGGTTTGATTCTGGTCAAGGGTACATACCTTGGTTGTGGTTTGGTCCCTGGCCCTCGTCAGGGTCACGCAGGAGGCAGCCAGTCAATGTGTCTTTTTTGCATCAATGTTTCTCTCTCTCACTGTCTCCCTCCCTTCCATTCTGTCTGAAAATAGATGGAAAAATATCCTCAGGTGAAAATTAAAAAAAGAAAAAGATAGAGGAAGGGAGAGAGAAACATGAAACACTGATGGACTGCCTCCTGCACGCCCCCTACTGGTGATCGAGCCTGCAACACCAGGCATGTGCCCTTTCTGGGAATGGAACCAGGACCTCAGTCCATGGGACTATGCTCAGTCCACTGAGCCACAAGGGCTGGGCTCTCCTCACTTTTTATATTTGACATTTTGATACGTTATTTGCAAATAACATTTTGAAATGTTATTTGCTCATGGTTTTTTGTTGTTTTTTTTACCTTTTTTCTTTTCATATGAATTGTCTATTCCTATCTTTTGTCCACTGTTTCATTCTTTGTTTTGTAATATATACACAATACACATATATACACTGATCTATATCACCTTAGCACATACATTTTCTATCCTTGTTACTGCATTTTTATGTAGAGATTTAAAAATTCTGTGTAATAAGGTCTATTTGATTTTTTTTCCCCTTGATATTTTTCTTTGGCTCTTAGAAAGTCTTTTCCTTACCTCCTTTTGTGGTTCCGTATTTTATATTTAACCCTTAAATCCTCCATCTATTTGGGAGGTAAAATTCAAGGTCCCTGCATCATTCTTGAATTGCATTCCTCACTATCTATAGACCTGTCTTTCCTGTCATTGTAGCTCCATAATTCACTTCATCATAGGGTGGAACCAGGACCACATTTTTAGTTGTTTTTTAAAAGTTCTTGTTTTTATCTATTCTTCCAGGTGAACCAGGAATCATTTTCTCAGAACTTAACTTCTTCATTCCCCTGCATATCTCATTGGGATTTTTATTAGAATTGAGTAGTTTGTGAAAAATTAAGTTCCATGTAATATTAAATCTTCACATCAAAGAATGTGGTAGATAACTGTTCATTCAAATCTGCTAACCATCAGAAAAGTTTTATAGTTTTCTTTATTAAGTTCATTCTGATTTTGTGGGTTTTGTAAATTGAATCTTTCTGTTATAACATATAGAGGACCAGTGTTTATTATATCTTCTTGTGTATTTATTTTATACTTAGTTATTCTAAGGTCTCTAACAGCTCAGTTTATTGAGTTTTCTAGGTAAACAGTTATATTAGTTGGCAATAAAAAGCTTGCCTCTCCTTTCCATATAGATAGCCTTTTACTTCACTATTTATTTATTTATTTATTTATTTATTTATTTATTGGTATGTGCCCCTAGTGGGAACCGAAACTAGGACTCTCTGGTCCATAGGACGATGCTCCAACCACTGAGCCAAACCGGCCAGGGCTACTTTATTTCTTTTAAAACCCACACTGGGCCCTGGCTGGGATTGCTAGTTGGTTAGAGCGTCATCCCAATACAGGCTGTAGGTTTGATGCCCAGTCAGGACACATATAAGAATCAACCATTAAATACATAAGTAAATGGAACAACAAATGATATTTCTCTCTCAAAAAAACAAAAAAAAACTTTAAGAAAAACAAGAGCAGCCTAGCTGGTACAAAGAACACATGTTTTGCCCTGGCCGGTTTGGCTCAGCGGTTGGAGCATCGGCCTGCGGTCTGGAGAGACCCGGGTTCGGTTCCCGCTGGGGGCGCGTGCCTCGGTTGCGGTTTGTCCCCGGCCCTGGTTGGGTCGTGCGGGTGGCGACCACTCAGTGTGTCCCTTTCACATCGATGTTTCTCTCTCTCTCTCTCCCTCCCACTCTCTCTGAACAAAATATCAAAAAAAAAAGAACACATGTTTTAGACAATAGTCATGTGAATGGGCAGAAAAACTCGAGGACTGTATTTGTGACTAATTGTATAACAGGTTATTTTAGTTTCTATTCTGTGGAAAGTATAAAGCACTCCAACAAAGGATTTTAATGTGTATATATATATATATATATATATATATATATATATATATATTTGCACCCATGCTGTTGATTGCCAGATATAATAGTCTGATCATGATGCTGAATAAATGTATCTTTTTTTTAAGAAGAAAAGAAAGGCCCACATTGGCCAACATTTCCAGAGCACCACTCAGTGTGGTGGTAGTGGTCATCTGTGGCAGGTGTGTGTCCATCTCAAAACACTTGGGCCTCTAAGATTTTGTGGCTGGGGTGCTCATGCAGCCCAGTTCTGACCCATGAGGCTCAAGTGGAGGTCTGCCAGAGATTTTGAACAAGTCTTTGCTTTCCTGATAGGAAAATTGTACCTTTCTCCTCCCTTCTTCCTACCTGGAACTTGGTAGCTCAGAGGTGTGGTAGCCATCTTGCAACTATGAGACAATTGAGGACAAAAGCCACACACAGTGAAATGGAAAAATGGAAGGCTCCTAGGCCTTGGATGAAATTTTTGAGCTGTTGTTTCAGCTACTGACATTCAACACCCTGAGTTCTTGCTGTGTAAGAAAAACAAACAGCTTAAGTCCATTTGTCACTCCTCACAGTTGTTCCATTCCTCACCAGTACAGCATCTGGGTCTTGATTCTGACTCAAAGGGAGACAGCTTGTATTTTACTTTTTGAAAAATGCCAGCCCTT